GGAAGTGGGAGGGGAGCTGTTACATTGTGGGAAATTACAGTCAATGTCATGAGACAAGTGTATGTGAGCTGCTGTATGGAAAGTGAAATTGCTCTGTAAACTTTCACCCAAATATAATAATAATAATAATAATAAAAGAAAGCCATGGTTTATAGCAATTGCCAGTTCCCTGTTGTAAATATTCCCCATCATAGCCCACAATTACGTTCCCATTGTAACGTCACTGAAGGAGTTTAACATTTCTACCACACAGACACTATCAATGCAAATAACCTCAGACAGCATGTTGTTGTTGTTGTTATGTGCCGTGGAGTCGGACCCGACTCATAGAAACCCCTCTTTGGGTTTTCAAGGCAGCATCACTATGGAAGTAGAGTGCCCCATCTTCCTTCCGAGGAGTGGTTGGTGGTTTGAACCGCCAGCCTTCTGGTTAGTAGTCAAATGCCTTAGGCACTACGCTACCAGAGCTCTTATAGATGACAGTAAATGTAGTACAAGAATTAAGAAGTGATGAGTTTGGAATACTTAATTTTTAATATTATTGGCTTAATTTTTAATAGTATTAGTTTAATTGAAAAAACTCACAGCCATTGAGTCAGACCCGACTCATAGTTACCCCTCCTTGGGTTTCTGAGGCAGTATCACTACAGAAGTAGATTGCCCAGCCTTCCTTCTGAGGGGTGGCTGGTGGGTTTGAACTGCCAGCCTTCTGGTTAGCAGTCATATGCCTTATGCACTACACCACCAGAGCTCCTTTAACTGTAGGTATACATAATTTAATTCTTAATAATGGTTGTGTTTAACAACTGGCTGGCAAAATTCCTGAAAATTTGACCAATGGATCTTGCGAGCTGGTATGAGCCAGTATGAGCCGGCTCTAGCACACTATGGCCTCAATGTCTTCTGAAAGAGCTGCAAGTACACTAGACTTACTGTGTGATTTTTTAATCTGCTTGGAATATGCCTGCCCTACAGCTATGTCTGTGCCACCATCCCTCCCTGGACCGAAGCCAGGCTCATCTCCTTTCTCACACAGGGATTCTCTTCAAGTCAGGCCTTCTCAATCCCAGGAACTTGTTCCAATCAAAACTTTTCAGTGGATGAATTGGCCGTAGGCAATCTTCTCTCCCTTTCGGCAGTGCCTCACCTCATGCCCGCCTTCTCAGGAGGCTTCCACTCCCCAGACTTTCATCCCTCAAACCCTACTCTTTCCAGCCAGAGTTCTGCTCCCTCAGGACTGTGCCCTGCTTCAATGTCCAGGGCAAAGTGTTAGCTCTCCCTCTCATGTGACCCCCCCCTTCTTGTATTTAAAAGGGTTTTCCAGTATTATACCTGAACAGTGGCTGTCAAGGTGACCATGTTCACAACCTGCCAGAATGGGGCTTATATCCTGCCCCCTGCCCATGCCCCTGCCCCTCGGATCTTACCATCTCCTCTGACAGGGCCTTCACCATCATCTTGCCCATCTTCCTGTTCATGGTTCGTGAAATCACAGCCCTCCACTTTTTCCCCAGCTTTTTGCTAGTCTTCCCAGCATCCTCTGGAGTAGGGACACCTGAGTCATCTTCTGGAATCTGTGGAAACAAAGGGGGAAGTCCAGAGATCCTGGTGGCCTTGCCTGGGTCCAAGACTTGGAGGCAGAAGGAGGCTTTCTGTTCACAGCAGAGGCTACAGGGGATGGCATTAAGACGTCCTCATTCCCTTATACTCCAACGCTAGCCCTATCTGCAATGGTTAAGCAATTGACTGCCAACCTAAAGGTTGGTGGTTGGAACCCAGCCAGTGGCTCCATGGAGGAAACTTGGTGATTACAGCCAAAAAAAAAAAAAAAAAAAACCATATGGAGCAGTTCTACTTTGTCACATGGCTTCACTATGAGTCAAAATCAACTTGACAGCACACAACAACACAAAAGCAAGTCTGGTCCTCAGCCCCCATCCTCTGCCAGGGGTCTCTTTAATTTGTAATACAGAAGAAAGCAGGTCAATGTGGAAGTTGTTATGCTGGTGAATGTCTTGGTGTGTGTGTTTTCACCACAATAAAAGTAAAAAAAAAAATTGAATGCAGGTCAGTTCTTGGGGCCCAGTTTCTTGTTGGGCAGGAGAGGTGGACTTCCAAGTTAAGGGAAGCCTTGCCCCAACAATCCTAAAATCTCCTGTTCCCCCTCCTCCTTCTCCAACACTTTCCCCCCCCAGGGCCTGCAGCCAGGTTCCCCCAAGGAAGCTCTGAAACTCACATTATCATCCAGATTAAATTCCTTCTCGCTCACCACAGGGGAGCTGGGTTTGGATTTGGCAAAATCCTTGAAGCTGCTGGAGCGCTGGAGTGAGAGCTGGAAGAAGCAGAGGTGTTGAAATCAGTGATGCTGAAATGGCTGCCCAAGGAAAGTTCTGGTCCACCTCCCATGCGGACAAATACTCCAGGGCTGGGCAGAGCCACATGTGCCCTGAGGGTACAGAGCTGATGTGATAAAGTATCTAGGTGTCCTTATAGCTACCTGGCTTCCTACTGTTCTTCAACATTGAATGGGCCCCTAACCCTGACCATAGAACAAGCTGCTGCCCAGGTCTCAGACTAGGCCCCAATATCTTCCAGTATCTGAATTTTGGTGTTTGGAACCCTGGAACCCTGGGCTGAAAGGTCAGGTCAGAGTGAATATATTTCTATTATTAAAGACATAGCTCGGTACACACAAGAATATTATCTTTTCATACAGGTCACCAGTGCCCTATATGTGTCAGAGTAGAAGTATGCTCTATGGACTTTTCAGTAGCTGAGTTTTCAGAAGTAGATTGCCAGGATTTCCTTCTGAGGCCTCTTGGCGGACTCAAAACCCTAACCTCTTGGTTAGTAGCTGATGTGTTTATAGTTTGCACCACTCATAGACTCCCACCTTTACATAACTAAACAAATTCCTCCCAAACCCGGTAGCTCTTAGCTCCGGCATGTGTGAGCATGATCTCCCATCACATGGACAGGCCTAACATCCTGGGCCCTCCAGCCTGATAAATCTGTGAGCCAAGAAGAGCAAGGGAATTCCACTAGGATCCAGCAAGACCTGGCTTTACACTTTCTGGTAAACCATAGTAGAGGCTTATTCACGGAAGGTGCCCAAACACTTGGGACACAAATACTTGGGGCTAATCTAGTAGACAACAACAAAGCCATTTTCTCTTTATTCATCTCAGCTTTTTACCTTGTTGTTGTTGTTAGGTGCTGTCGAGTCATTTCCGACTCATAGAGACCCCATGCACAGCAGAATGAAACACCGCCCGATCCCGCAACAGCTCCACGATCCCTGCTATTCTTGAGCCCATCATCGCAGCCACTGTGTCAATCCATCTCGTTCAAGGCCTCCCCCTCTTTTGTCGACCCTCCACCCTACCAAGCATGACATCCTTCTCCAGGGAATGGTCCCTTCTGACAACATG